TATTTCGGGAGCTCAGTGCCGGCCAAGTATCGGCTGCAATGTGTAGAACACATCACGGGCCTCTATGAGACAGGAAGAGCTTTGGCTTACAGCAGCGTGGTGTGTGGGTGTGTAGGCTACTTTGTATAGTCCTCTAAAGCTCGGCTGTACATGGTTTCAAATCAGATTTGAAAGTTTTTGACACATTATAAATGAGACGTTATCTTTCATGCAATGTTTTCGTGCAATGTTCTGGCACTTTCATTTCTCAACATACTGTATACGTCGTTTTGAAGATGAAAAAGTTGAAAATTGTTGAAAAAGTCAAAAATGCTTCGATCACATTAGCTGTACTTAATACTTTATAGGTCACTCTATAGATCTTCATATGAATAATGTCTTCCTGCATAGTGCAAAGATATATGACAAAAAAAACCTCAAAGACAGATATTGACTGTTACAATAAATTACTTTATTCATTGTCCATTTGTCAAAGCAGGGCATCGTGCCACATGAGATAAAACAGACGACCATGGTGATAAATCCTGTAAAATTTAACCCGAGACTGTACGACCCTGAAGAAAGACAGCGGGAAAAAAACCAGACCTCACCACATTTCAGCCGCTGACATTTCTGCAATTACTCTTCAATTCTCATGAGCCAGTTGCTGACATTTTTGTGCATTTCACAAATTTTTATTTTATTAGGCGAGTGAATACCCTTATTAAATCAAACCCCACCAGAAAATAGAAAAACCCCACTGACGTCTGTCTATTCACTGGTGAATAATATAACTTTATTTATGTATATCATGTGGAGACAAAACGAGTAAAATGCTGATGTTGGACTTTCACATGTACTTGTAAGTCCGTGGACTTGGACTATAATCAAATTGATAATAAATCAAACCTTGAAGCATTAATCTTTTCAGTGATTTACAACAGCAAATGGACTTTCAGTAAAAATCATCATCAATCACAATCAATTTACATGTAAATGAGCTTATCATTAATATATATATATAAAAAATTCTGTTGTATTTGTATTTATAGTGAAAAGGTATTTCTAGCTGTCCTCCCATGGTATTTTTATTTTTACAATTTTAATGTCTCTGTCATTTTCGGTCTCTGGCAGCTTCTTATTTCACTAAATTGACAAAACAACAAAAACATGAAAAGTCTACAAAAACTTTATGGTTGTCTCTTTTTTCCAATCACTTATCAGGAAAACAGTGATTTCTATTTCGTTTTTTTCAGTTTTTACTCTGATTCACAACAGAAAATATATGTATTTATATTTTCTGCTGTGAATCAGAATGCTGTCTAGACACTGCCTTCGTTATATTCAGCTTTGGGCTGTGTGGTGGTCCCTGAAATTGTAGTTTTAAAAGAATAAACCATAGTTTATCTCTGCATGAACTGAGAATAAAATGTATTTTATGTCTTTGTCACTTCAGCTCACCATCACCCTGCCACATCTACATTTCTTTTCTTGGTTGGACCTGGTGAAGCTTTGAAGCACTGAGACTGAAATCCTTTCATTTTTAATAAAACCTCATAAAAGCTGAGTGTGTGGTGTGATAGGACATGGATTTTGTTGGAGCATTGTGTTTTCATGAGGTGACAGTGCACCTGGGACCTCATTAAAACACACTTGGAGACCACTGCTCTACTTCTGCCTGCACTTAATTAAAATATGACACTTTGAGTCTTTATATAAATTGCCAGTTCCTGACAAATCTGAGCACATGTGCAGAAGCTTCACTTCCCTAGATTTTTAACGTCCCAACGCAGCTGCCAAAGATAAATCAGGACTTTTCATATCTCATAGACCACAGACCACATTATGAGTCGACTGGCTGAACCTTATGATAATATACCTGTAACTATCAAAAGCCAATGTGAGGAGATTTGTAATAGTTTGACTGTTAAATTCCAAATGAATCACATTTCATTTTGTAATTCACAGGAACAAATTACTTGAGTGATTTTAAACAACAGAATTGTTTGAGTTTAGAGTATCACACTATCTCTCTATCAAGTCAGGAAAGAACAGCAACAGTGACTGACAGTTCTCTTTTTGATATTCTCCTCTACCAAGGAGGTTATGTTTTCAACCCTGTGCTTTGGTCGGTTCGTCAGCATGATTATGCAAAAACTACTAATCAGATTTCTCCCAAACCTGTGGCAGGAGTCAGAGAAGAAATACATTTATTATCAATTTATTAAATTATATGGATCAGAAGAATGGGACTTTGACTTCATGAAATTTGTATCTGAATCCGGTCAATGAGACAGATGCATGTTTGTTTTCCCTTAACATTGCAAGTTAGGTGCAAGATAGATTCTTAGTTGTTTCTTTTTTCATTTGTTACTAATTTCCCAGGAAATAATCAGTGCATCAGGCCAATATCTGTGAGTGTGTGCAATTTAGTGCATTGATTGGGTATTGGTGGAAGTATTTGCTACTGAGTTCTAGTTGCATTTGAAACTTGTTTCACAGCCATTATCTTTTTTGATATGCTTCTTTGGTTTTAATCACCAGGATCGATGGTGAGGGAAAGAAAATTATCATCCTGTCCTCAACAAGTAAATGTTAAATGCTAAAATATTGTCAATAAACCAAAACCAGAACCAAACTAGAATGGCTCTCTGTAGTGCATACCTCCTCCAAGGTCCTTTTTGGATCTGCACCAAAATGCACACACTTATTATCTGTCCACAAAATATGTCAGATTATTTTCATTAATATTTATGAATTATTCTTAAAGATATTAACCAAAATGTTGAAAAACTGCCCATCTCACAATGTTAAAAAGACCTTAAAAATGATTTTGATGGGTTCTTCCTTGGGTCGTACAGCAACCCTTCACTAAATTTCATGGGGATCAATTGTCTAGTCTTTGTGTAATCCTGCTTATTTGCAATTACAAACAAACATAGACTAAAAGATAAGCTCCCTGGGCAGATATAATAAAGAATCCATTATTTTGTTTTGGAAAACATTTTTTTTACAGAATCTATTATTGAAACTTAACAAAAATTTAAGGTTAAACTTGACATCAAATCTAAATAATTAAATCCAGGTCATCGATTATCATGCTTCATTTTTAAGATATTAAACATTTTTTGTGTCATTCATGTGTGTGTGTGATCTGTTGATTTAGTCCCTCTTGTGCTGGCCACAAGATGCACTTTTCCCTCTGGGGATAAAGGTCATGGAGGATTGAGGGAGCACGCTGCGCCACAGGCTGCGGTTGCGTCACCGCCAGTATTGAGTCAGGTGCACTCCCAAGGATCTCGCTGCCAGCTGCAGTCGAGGCAGGGATAATCTGCCTAAGCAGCTTTCACATGATTTCACCTACAGGGAAGAATTTAGGGGAGGCTTGTAACCCTCTTCAGACCATGGCCTTGGAGCTTCCTCCTGCATTGACTTAAGAGTTGAACAAGGGCTGTGCTGCAGACACCACACCAGAGAATACTTCAGTCTAAAAATTGCTCATTTGCAATCTATTCATTTCCCAGGAGCATGCAAAAATGTGACACACACATAAGTAAAAACGTGGTTATGCACCTGTTGTCCATTAACACTTCTTTCTCTTACTCTAAAACATCCTAAAACACATGAACTTTTTCTTCATCATCCACTAAAAGTGAAATCAGTGATAATGATTTAAGGAACATACCGACAGAGAGCAGTCAGATTTATCCACTCAGGAAGACTGTAGGAAGTGTCTCTGATCTTCTCTGTGAGAGTCAGAACACATGAAGTTAATCTACTAAGAGCCAGGGGTCAGTGTCACTGGCCTAATGTTTATACACGCTGTGCAAAGATGTTACTGCTATTTCATGTTCCAAAGGGCACTGGCAAACCCAGTTCTTAAAGGAAAGTCTTTACTGTCTGACTATTGGATCTTGATAGCATTGCACATAAACATTTGAAATGTCTTACACTTGGATATAAAGACCAAAATGACTTTTGCAAGTGAAAAAAGGAATATTTAGAGTTGAAGTGAAGAAGAGGTGAGACTTAAACCATAAAACCCCAGCCTGTCACCCTGCCTCTAATTTAAATTAGTTTTGAGTTCAAGCAGACTTTCAATAGCTCAGACAGGTAAATCAGCAATCAGCAGATCAATGCTTAATGTTGAAAAGATTACAATAGTGAAATATTTGCTATTTGTAAGAAAAAATTACAATCGTCTTTTGGCACTGCAAACATTTTGTATGGTAAAGCAGATTTTCAACCTGGTGTGTATTTAGACAGAATTGAATCTCAGGCAAAAATATCATGATAATATTTGGCCGTGCGATGAGCTGACTGAGAAATTATGGTGCGGCACAATCTCATTGTCAGATCACAAATTCCTTGAGTAAGGGATGCTATTACTGCTGACATGAGACGCTCACACCTTAAGAAGATTATTGTTTATGTTCTCACTGGCAGTATAATGTATGTCTCAGACAGGAAGTGTGTTGACTAAGTCCATAAGCCTGGAGCACAAATGTGCCGTGGTTTAGTGCTTAACATGTGTCTGAACTTCCAGTCGAACGCAAGAAGTCTGACAGATGTCAAAATACTCGAGACGGTAATATATAGCATAATCTTTGCTGTTTGTTGGAGAAGCTCTTATATGACACTGCTGAAGAGCTGCAGGATCTAATGTTTCTGAATGAATATTCAAGAGTCTCTCTGATTGTGAGAAGTCACAAAAGCTTAAACCTGGGTCACACTGGATGAGTGACGCATGTGTACCGCAGAACGCCTTGCTTGTCATTTCAGTGCCCGTTAGAGCAGACACACTGCCCCCCTGCCCCCTGAGCCACGCTGCTCTTCTAAAGGTGGGGTCTCACCTTTTTCTCTTCATCAAGCGCATTTGACAGGAATTTATAGTGAAAATGATCTTTCAACAGTTTAAAAACACATATTTGCAATACTTCCTGTATCTGTTTCAGCAACCCAGTGTTTGTTTTAATAAGGTATTAAATATTTGAAGAAGATGCACAGCTTCTTACCATAGAATCATTTAGTTGAGGACATGGGCCTACTTTTATTCAAGGAGATACAGTAATATCAGAGACCTCACATAGCAGCAGGCTACAGAACAACACATTCATCCTTATATCGTACGTCAACTAACTGTCAAGATCCTCACAGTTTGTTGTAAGATATTTGCTGTATGACTGATGTGTTGTAGGTTGACCCAGCCCTGCTTTGATCGTGCTCCCCTCTGTTTGCAGCAGCTGCCAGTTTGTCTCTTTCTGGGATGCTCTTCTGCCTTCTCACCATGCACATCTGGCACAACAGCTGGCAGGAGCACAGGTACAGGCCACCCAGGGTCAGTGGCACTGGTGGGGCACATCTGGGTGGGAAAAAATGAGTAAAAAAAGAGGGTTTAATGCGAACACACATTTATATACACACACAAGCAGAAAGCCCAATTGCATCCTGTTGGTTGAGTCAGGTGGACTCTTCTTACTGCAGGTGCTTCTCCTCTTGGCCTCATACATTCCTCCTTCCGCAATCTCTTAATGCACTCACAGGCCGATTCCCTGGGAGTGGATCAGGCGAGTCACTGACCTAAAGCAAATCTACAGAACACACAAGGTCAAGGCGTGACCCTTACATGCACTGTTATGGCGCATTGATGCAGGGTACTGGCAGTCCTGCATGAAGAGGATGTACAGGAGAGGGAGTGGAATAATCCCATGCTGGTGTTTCCCGTGTGAGTGAGTGAGTGAGTGAGTGTGTGTGTGTGTGTGTGTGTGTGTGTGTGTGTGTGTGTGTGTGTGTGTGTGTGTGTGTGTGTGTGTGTGTGTGTCTGTCACTCGACTTAGAGATTGCGGGCTGGAGGAGGTTAAGGAAAAGGTCTGCCAAGCATAAGGACATGAAGGTAAAGAGGAGCAGACAAGAGGATAAGGAGATTGGGTCACAGACAAAGAGCTAGAAGCCAGACCACATTAAAGGTTGTTGATAAAGACGATGATGCACCTCGGACAGAGTCTGACCAGCTCTCTGTTCCATCTGCGGTGTTAAGAGCTCGAGGAGCGAGAGAAGGCAGCTGAGAGCATGTGTGCAGACGGAGAGTAAGCCGGGGCATCTGGTTTTGTTAAGGGCCCAGAACATTCCTTCCCTCTGTTGGACTCCGGCTGGCAGCTTTAAAGGGACACGTTTGCACTCATATCCTGCTCCGGGCATTGCCCTCTCTCTTGAAGTTCCGTTTATGAGAACTGAGGGTCACGGACAAGATGTCTGTCAGTCTTTGCTCTTCTGTCTGACACTCAGGGTTGTTACAGGGGAGAAAATATATGTCTTTTATGACACAGGAGTAAAAGCAGAAGCATGACAGCAGACCTCGGCTGTCAGTTTATATGTTTCTTATTTATGTCTTACTAATTTGTTTCCACAGGCAATAACAATTGTTCTATGTATTAAAATGTATCATGCCCTAGCTAGTCCATTCGGCAAGTTCAAAGCAAGAATCTTATTGCTGAGAGGCAACAGTGTTGACCACTGCACCACTCATCCATTCATCGATCCACACCACTTATTCTTTAAGGGTTACTTGGGGAGCTGAAGCCAATACCAAATGAAATTGGGCAAGAGCGACGGTACACCCAGCACAGAATAAATGAAAGTGGCTTGACTTGACATAGCCTTCAACCACCATTGATCTACCAAGCACCAAGTATTACAGGAGTTACTAAAAATTCCTTCAGAGATTTTATCTTCTGACACTGAAAGCATTTTCCTTTTCTGAATCGCTGCAAAAATCCATTGTTGTTCTTTAATTTTCCTTATAATTTTGACAAAAATGTATTTTGAACCTGAAATTGGAGACAGAAAAATAGCATCACTGCTGGTGCTTAACTAAAATGCATTTTTTGGATGATGCAAGTTGGGTGAAAGTCAGAATTGTGGCAAGACTCTGCTACTTTAGAAAAACGTACCATTAAAATGTCACTTACTTGCTATGATAAACCCTAACCCTAAATGAAAGAGACCAGTTTCCATGGTGCAATACTTTTGTTACATGATACAGCAGGTGTCATGGTATGAATCTGAACACATGAACATGCCGCACAAGTGACAGGGTTTTTAAACAGTGAGGGACTGTGCCTATTATTTTATATGGTGATTCTGTCATTGTCTTCGTGCCGCTTGCTCCTGGGGATGGACAAGTCTTCAGTGCAGGAAAGAGCCGACCACAACAGTTCTTCAGCTGGCAGCTTTAGTTGATACATGAGGACATAAAGCTTGCCAGTGAAGAACTGCTGTAGGTCAGCCAATGAGCACCTTGTGAACATAACAATAGAGAAGTCAAGTTTCTCCTGAAAAGGACATTTTGAAGCTTTGATTTCTATCTGCTGCTTTCTTCCCCCTGTAGCTGAAGCAAACACACCCTTAAGTACCTATATTCCTATTTAAGTCCTTATTTCTCTAAAGCTAGGGTTGGTAATCCTGGACAAGACAGCACAAGCAGACTACTCTTTGAGAAAATGCAAACGATACATCCCACCCCTTGTCAGAGCTACGCCCTCAAAACATATGAACATATGATCCTGATAGCTGCTTGAAGCCAGCTTTTCTATAACTTGCTTGATAATTTCTGGCTATAAAATTTCCTTAGCGGTTTACATCTCTCTGGCCAACCAATAATTTCATTTAATCCAGATGAAATGATTGGTCATGTTTAATTCAGTCCTGTAAAGTCACTGCCTTTATGGTTTTTCTTCTCTTCTTGTTTTATTTAGTGATGGCTATCAGGACGTGAAGAGGAGTTCAGCAAATAAAGCATAAAGGGTTTCAGAAATAACGCTTTAATGACACTAATTCTCAAAACGGCCACCAATGCAAAGATTTGAGAGTTTATTAGATGAGGCCTTCATTTTTTTAACCAATTACTTTTTTGGGATTACTGTGCAGTTGGAGATTTTTAGATCCGGTATCAAGCAACCACTACGTGTGCTTCATCTTAAGGCGCTTCCACTTTGCCTTAAGCGTTTGGCTAGGGTGGCTGCCACTTGGCACTCAAACACACACACTCCTTTCTGTGCTAGCTGTGAGAGGAACTTGTTGTCGGAGAGAGGTGAGGTAGAGAGAGAGATACAAGTGAGGTAGAGAGAGAGATACAAGAGAGGAAAACTTTACAACATTCTTTTGTCCTTATTCGCGAACACTGCGGTTTATAAAAGTGTTTAAATGTGCACGCATAAACAAATAAACCGGGCGTGCGTGCACACCATCATGGAGCTAGCCTACTGTTTTAGCATTCCCTCTGCTTTAACCCTAATTGAATACAGAAGTCTTTGCTAGCTAGATAGCTTGGCCTCTGGTTACAGCCTGGAACTCCTGATAGAAAACAGCTCTTGTCCTGTGGGGCAGTTCAGTTTACAGCAGCCACACAGGCATGAATGAGGGAATTTTTCTTACAGTTTAGACACTTCCACTCCCTTGGGTGTGTGACTGCTTCACCAACATGTCAAGTATTTTGTTATTTCATCTGGAGAAAGTCTCTCAAATGTCCACCCTGATGAGTGTCAGTTTAAGAAATGTTGGTAGAAGGATTAAACCCTTAAGAGCGATCAAGTAATCAAGTATTAGAGAATAAAAGTGACAAGAAAACCCTTGATATGATGTACCACTAGTAACATCCATCATTTCTGGCGACCACTGTGTAATATTCACGAGTAGCTCAGGATTTGTCTTGCCTGGATTCCATTCAGCTGGACTGACTTCAACTATTGCAGTCAGTCGGTCTGAAAAGCCTTTCCCTAGCAGCATTTTCTTTCACAGTTCAAGGACAGGGCTTTGGGCAAACTAGCTCTCAGCAGCACTGCGAACCCAGCAACCCCTAGAAACTCAACGAACCCCACGCTGCTCTGAGCAACAGTGGAAAGCTCTGGGCTGCAGACGTACACACAAACACGCACACACTCTCTCAATCTGTCCAAATGGTCTTCATGAGACTAGTTTGAGAATGAATTCTGAATGGGTTGTGGGCCTTGAACTTGTACTGAATCCAGGGGGATCCATTGTGGGTGTGTAATATTGGAGATGGGATCCAGGGCAAAGGCTTTGCTTTTGTTTTCATTGAGCAAATTTGTAAAGGGGCACCTGATAGCTCCACTGGCCTTTTGTTAACAGAGAAGATTAGTTTCCTCTGCTGTCCAACGGATCGTATTTAAACTGGCAAGTAGATTTGCAGGAGAATGGAAAGATAGGTAAACAGATGAAAAGGAAAAGGATAAAGAGAGGAAAGGGATAACGAGAAGAGCAGCAAACACCGACAAGGTCAGAGATCAGCATTGCTACATGAAAGCAAGCTGGTGACCATGTAATAGCTCTAATAAGTCAGGAGGAAAGAACTAGTGTCAGTATTTAGAAAGTCATCCAATATTTTGAACAGAGATATACATACACATTCAATCTTAACATTCTAGTGAGCAGGAAAAAAATTACACCTTTATCATTAACGTATCCTTTTAATGATGTATTTGTTTTATTAACTCCACCATGGACATTATGTTTTTATCCGCTTTTGTTTATATATTTGCTAGTTAGTTAGCAAGACTTACAAACCCTAGGTCCATGTAATTTTGTGGTTGCGTAGGGCATGACCCAGGATGAGGCACAAAATTTTTTTTTTTCATGTTAACATTATGAGGTTTTTCCAAATTTTTCTGGTTTTCACAGAATATTATTTTGGAATTGTGATGAAAAAACACATATTTCGGGGACTTATATTTGCAAGTGTGTGAAATCTGCTGCAGATCCAAAATAAAATGTGGATCTAGTGAATTAAAAATGGGTATCATGAGGGGAATGCTCATCTCTAGTTATTTTGTCATTTCTATACAGTACTTTATGTTCCTGTCGTTGTAGCTTCCTCTGCTACATCCAATCAATCATTGCATTCTTAGTTATTAAATCATGAATCAGAAAATTCCATAATAAATCTTGTTTTCTATACTCTCAGGACATGAGGAAATTGAAAGATACACAAGAAAGAGCAACAAAAGGTAAAAAGAAAAAAAAGGGTCTCTATGACAAATTTTGCCTCTGGCTAACTAATCATCCTAGTGTGACAGGGGCTGCACTTTGTTTTTTATTTTTTTCCTGTAAATGTAATTGTCAACCCCTATTATTCTTTAGCAATGTTCTTTCTCTGCTCACAATATGTTAAGCATGCACACAACACGCACGCAGTGGTCATCCCAGAGTTAAGAACACAGTGTACCAGAGGAGTGATTTATTACACAGAGCTGACGATTCCCAGGACAATTACAGCCAGCCAAAGTAACAGGCTGAAAATGGCTGCTCACGGTGTGTACGCACAAACACACAAGGAGGTGACACTGC